TAAGGATTGAGAGGTAAAGTGTTTGAAAAATAATGACATTTATGAATAACCATGTTACTTATTCGATACTCTTTTACGCGAGTGTGATTAGTCTGACAAGGCTCGGCATATGCAATAGCACTGAATTCCTCGATAATAATAAATCATGGTTTATTTTCGAACCGCGTGCTTTGCAGTTCCTACGAGGACGCATGATTATAACCCATGCCCTGTGTAAGTACATGAGTTTGAGGTTACCTCTGCTTACAGGTGACAGAGTGTGATGTTAGCACGGAGTCGCCTATCCGTCGTTTAGCGACACGCCATTACGGCCAAAAGTCCCGCTATGCGCCCACCCACGGTCCGCGCACACGCAGTGTCCTCTCTGGTAATGCAGCCGGACACGCAGGGGTAGTTGGAGCGATGAGGAGGTGGACGTGCAGGAAAGGGTGAGTGAGCAATCTAGGACATCGTAAACTGTATCAACCGCCTCATCTGACAAGACACTGAAACGAACGACCGGACGATGACAGGCGACAACGAAAGCGACGACGACAACGACGAAAGCGACGTACACGACGACGAAAGCGACGACGACAACGACGAAAGCGGACGACGACGACGAACGCAGCGACGACGACGACGACGAAAGCGACGAAACGACAAACGACGAAAGCGACGACGCCAACAGACGAAAAAGCTGACGATCGACGACGACGAAATGGCGGAAAGTCGACGACGGACGATGGACCACGACTAATCGACGTATCTGTTAATACTAAGACTGCTACTGCCCGTCGCGCCCGCTTCCTGCTGGCTACTACTGCCTACTCTCTCTCGCCTCATCTTCTCCCTCCCGTCTTCTCTTCATCCTTCCCCGCCTTCTGCTGTCACAAGAGTGCTCCTTCGTCGTGTGCAGAGAGGCCGACGACCATCTACCGTCACGTGGTGCTAGAGCGGCGAGAACCGCCCCGGCAACCGCGCCCGACCAGCTGGAGCGATGTAGATATCATGGGGCGACGAGGCAAGGCCGAGTGAGGGTCCATCGAATTGGCAAATCACCGCGAACCCGGAGAACACTGAAAAGCATAGGTAAGTGCGTTCGCTGACGTACAGCGTAGTCCAGTCTGTACTGGGATCTTAACATGAACACTATATGAAAACGTTACATCACGTTTTTTTAATATATAATTATGAGTTAAAATAACGTAAGGCATTGTATAGGTTAATGTTTTTGGCACTGTTCCAACGTGAAGCCTTGATTAGTTTGCGGCGGATAACCAGTGAAATCTATCAACGCCTTGTCATCGGCAAGCGGAAAGCAAAAGATCAATTAGCTTGCAGTCGCAAACATCGCGATATGTGTCCCTATTATATATAATATATATATATATTATTATATATATATATATAATAGTCTATACAAGATCCCTCATCGTTGACGGTTGCGTTGCTTGTAGACGCGAGGCCGCGCACAAGGTCACGGGGTAAGAGGAGCCCGGGAAAGAAGACGGCGAGGCGCTGAAGACGGTGGTGGGGGCGCGCGGGTGAGCAGCGCCGTAAGAGAGAGGGCGGAGGCTGCGCAGCCAGCGACCAGCCGACGGCTCACGTGCCGGAAGACCGAGTGGACCAGTGCTTCCACGCCAGGCGGGCTTTGGTGCGTACGCTTTTGCGTTATATTATATACGAGGCGCGGCTCCTGTCGTGCAAACATCAGAACTTCAGCAAATTTCAGAAGAATTTGATTTCGACATACCGCACGAGACGAAATAGGTTTTTCACGGCGTGAGATACTGCGCTGTGCCAGGCGCGAGGCGAGCAAGGTTATACCGCGTTTTCTTGCAGACGGGTCATCACCGCGGTTAAAAACATCTAATAACAGCGTTGCTTATATCCCAGTGTTTACGAATACGGCATGGCCACAAAAAACCGATCAGCGCTGAGCTTGGGGAACCCTGTTTGAATTCTTGTCATATTGCATTAACGCCTGTGTTTTAAAGTGGTCACATAGTAACTTTATCTTCCTCCACTATCTGCTACACGACAAACGCTCTGGCGGCATATCAATTCGTCATTGGTTGTAATCGTCGTTGTTGTAAGTCGTCCGTTATTCTAGAGGCCGTAAACGTATCACAGTTGTCGCTAATCTTACTAGTATACCTGATGCATTGACATTCCGCGCGACACTCGCACCGCGCACACTCTAGTAGCCATCTCGCGATCGCCCAGCGTTTTATTTATTTTTACCTCCGCCAGAGCTTGGCGGGGGTTATGTTTTACGGCGGCGTGTGTTTGACGTGGTTGTTGTGTGTTTGTGGGGTTTTGTGGGTTATGTTAACATGCCACGTTTCAGTTCACTTTCGCTAAGGTGCGGCGGCTGTAACTTACAAACACGCAACCACACGGCTTCAGGGGCAACCACAGTCCTCCCTCACCTGCACGCGCCGCACTAATCCGGATATCCAATTAATTATTTAATTAATTAATTAATTATATTAATTTTTCCCAACTTAATTATTAATGTAATTTTCCACTTAATTTAATTAGATAATGAAAAATTCATCATTGAGCAGAATTTCAGCTGCCTTGGCTGAAAGTGCTTCTAGTTTATAATGTGATATGTGAACAATACCCGTTTCCAACTACGTTCGCGGGGAGACGAATGGAGGAGGAGGTGCGAGCCTCGCCCCCCGAGCGCCCACCCACCGCAGCCGTGACCTCGACTACGAGGGAGGCGAGAAGAACAGAGACTGGGATTCAATGCGGAGTCGGATGAGATAGAGGCGTCACGTGCGTCCAGCGCACCGCACGCGCAGGTGAGGTGCCATCCTATCGTCACTGTATGCGGTGTCTTACGTCGCAGATGACGTCATCTGCGTCTTTTCGGCCACGCGCATACGTGACGTCGTAGTATAAATTAAAGTAAATAAAAATTAAATGTATAAATAAGATAATCGTAATCTAAAATAGATTATGTCGATACCGCCTGTCGTTTCAGCACGGCCGCTCGTTTAGGCATGAAAAGATTAGTGTGAAGGTGTGAAGGCGAGTCAGAGTTACACATCTATGCGTTAAACGTTCGCATCACCGAACGGGCGCCAACACGCAGAGTTTGTCACGCGCCCTACGTGCATCGCAAGCTGCATCATTTGCTACACTTACTGCGCCCACGCATCGATTGTTTCACACTACATCCACACACATGTCATCACACAGTCACCCAACTACTACACACACATCACTACTTTTACACTACAGTAACTACCTCGGCACGGCACGTGGCTACCTACGTCCGCTACATAACACATCCTATTATCACACTTTCAGCTACACGTTTCTTCGTCTCGACTCCACACACAACACATTGCTACATTTTTCACACACACCACACCCACACACACACACACACACCGACACACACAACACACACACGCAACGCACACACACACACACACACTCCACACACACCACACACACACACAAGCCCACACACAACGGTTAGCTGCGTCGATGAGTCACACTCACACACACACAAACAACACACACACACACAGTGGTGGCGCTCACACACACACAACACACAACACACACACCCACACCGACCCACACACACACACAACACACCCGACCACGGCGCGCGCGCGCGACACTACACACAAACATGACGTAGCGCGCCCAAAAACGCACGCACGCCAACCCACGCACTGTACTTTGTGCCGTTATAACGATTTTGTGTGCGGTACAAGCTGATGATCCTCGCGCTGGGGCCGCTGTGTTGTATGTTTTATTAGTACACACCACCCCTAGCAGGAGTAGTCAATAAAACGGCTCCGTGCGCGTCTTGTCACATATCGCGAAGTACGATTATGAACTAAATGTTCTTAATAAATTGCATGACAACCACCGGTACAATAGGAATTAACCGGGCTTCTTATTGCTCACCGTCGCTGATTAACAGATAGTAATTATCAGGTTAAGTGTGTAATTATAGATGTAGATATATAATATAGATATGAGTGTAATGGTAGATAGTAGATTTTTGATGTAGATGTAATATAGACGCAAAAAAATAAAATGTAGATGATAGATGTAGATGTAGAATGTAGATTGTAGATGTAGAGTAGATTTTAAGATGTAGATTGTAAGAATGTACATGTTAGATGTAGATTGTAGATGTAGATGTAGATGTGTAGATGCATGTAGATGTAGAGTGTAAGATATAGATTAGTAGATGATATAAATTATTCCGTAGATGTAGACTGTTAGATGGTAGATGTAATGTAGATAATAGATATATAGCGTAAGATGTACAATGTAGATGTAGATGTAGATTATGATGGTGATGTATGATGTGAGATGTAGATGTAGATGGTAGATGTAGATGTAGATGTTATGATGTAAGGAGTAGATGTATGATTGTTAAGATGTATAGCTGTATATGTAGATGTAGAGTTAGTATGTAGTATGTATGATGTATATATATACAATATAGATCATAGATAATAAGTATATCTATATATACACTCCTGATTATTACGAATGGCTAGAAATGGTCGCTGTCAAATTAGCACACATATCAGTTAAATAATGCGGCGAACCGCTGCTGTAATGTAAGTAGAGCGATGTTACTGTATCTTAAGTATCAAACGTCCTCCAAATCATTCTGTATTCTGGCAAAGTCGGCATCAGAAAAATGTTAATAGTGCGTGATAGCTGTGAGCGACGACAGTGATAGCGGACAGCGACGATTGACGTTTGATGAACTCGTAGCGACCTTGAGACGTTTTGTTATCAGCACAAATGCTGAGAGTGCACAGTGTTACGTGACTATGTGGTGTAATAGTAAACCAGTCGTTAATATAGAAATATTTGTTGGTCTTTCGTAAACTCTCCATATAGTCTGTTTACAAATGAGAATGTCTAAATCAATGTGAAAAAATAAATATTTTATTAATAATTA